CATATTGCATGTATTACATATTATTATTACTTGATATCAAATTGCATGTATTACAAGTTACTGCTACTACATATCAGATTGCCTGTATAACAAATTACTGCTACTACATATCAGATTGCATGTATTACATATTAATATTACTATATGTCAGATTGCCTGTTTTACAAATTACTGCTACTAGATGTCACATTGCATGTATTACATATTACTATTACTTGATATCAGATTGCCTGTATTACAAATTACTGCTACTACATATCAGATTGCCTGTATAACAAATTACTGCTACTAGATATCGGATTGCATGTATTACATATTAATATTACTATATGTCAGATTGCCTGTTTTACAAATTACTCCTACTACATGTCATATTGCATGTATTACATATTACTATTACTTGATATCAGATTGCATGTATTACATCTTAATATTACTATATGTCAGATTGCCTGTTTTACAAATTACTGCTACTACATATCAGATTGCATGAATTACATATTAATATTACTATATGTCAGATTGCCTGTATTACAATTTACTGCTACTAGATGTCATATTGCATGTATTACATATTACTACTACTTTATATCAGATTGCCTGTATTACAAATTACCACTACTAGATGTCATATTGCATGTATTACATATTACTATTTCTTGATATCAGATTGCCTGTATTACAAATTACTGCTACTAGATATCAGATTGCATGTATTACATATTAATATTACTATATGTCAGAGTGCCTGTATTACAAATTACTGCTACTAGATGTCAAATTTGAATGTATTACATATTACTGTTACTTGATATAAGATTGCATGTATCACAAGTTACTGCTACTACATATCAGATTGCCAGTATAACAAATTACTGCTACTAGATATCAGATTGTACGTATTGCATATTAATATTACAATATGTCAGATTGCCTGTTTTACAAATTACTGCTACTAGATATCGGATTGCATGTATTACATATTAATATTACTATATGTCAGATTGCCTG